TAGCTTTATAATCATATTTGTTCTGTTGTCCTATTTTTGCCCAAGAACAAATCCTCAGAAATCAAGTCACGATGCGAATGAATATGCATCTTTTAATCAGTTAAATCGTAAGTCATTCTACAGACCTGCCTAAAAATCTCTTTAAGAGAAAATACAGTTTATAATTTGGTAGTTATTTTTGTTTGTTTTCTGCACTGGAAATGAACTCGTAGAAGAGTGGGAACTGTATCTGTCTTGATTATCACCATCCCCAGCACTCAGGCACTCAATATGGGGCTGCTCCAGCAGCAGTAATAGCAAACATTTATTATGTGCCTGGCACTGTCCTGAGGATATTAATACAGTTATTCCTGGCAGCAGCTTTTATGACGTAGAGAGGATGATTATTTCTATTTGTAGATGAATAAAGTAAAGCACAGGTTCATGCGTCTTGTAGATGATAGAGCCAGGAATCGGGCAGTTTTCCTGCAGTTTATGAGTAGCCACTATGCAGTACAGGTTCTCCTTTCATAAATTAATCCATGTGTGAAGAACCCATATATTTATTTGAGTTTCACCAACTGCAACTTTCAGCTAACTTTTGGCTTTTTCTTTTTTAAATGAATATTAGAGGGAATGGAGTACCCATTTTATAAGCCAGATTGGTTTTATGGTCCTCTGAACTCGCCTATACTTGCTAGCTAATAATGCTGCTCCTAAAATTAATATCCATATAGGTATAAACCATAAATCATTCTCACCTGAAGAATTTATGATGATGTAAACAGGATCTTTGCTTTGTATTACCAGTAAAATAGTAAATCTGGGCCTGCAGCTTCAACCTAGGAGGTAGAACTTTTATTACTTGTTTTTCCTACTCTACTTCCTGCCCGGGCTCTTTTCCCCCAGCTGTTTCCTACGCATTCATGTTTCCTGTTCACCTCCTGGAGTGGAAAGCATAACTCTTCTCAAAAGCTCTAATCAGTGTCGGCTGCCTCTGTGGAAGACCACTTTCATCCTTTCCTCTTCTCTTTCTCTCTTCTTGAAGGTTCTTTCCTTCCTCAGAACATCCCAAGTCCCTTTTATAGCATGCTTCCAGGAAGAGTATGTTCTAAACCTACCTTAAGTTAGTTGTTCCTCTCCTCTAATAGACTTTCTCTTTTGTTTTATGTGGTTTTTAAAATCACCATACTTGCTACAATATTTTGTACTGAGCTTGAAATGAAGTGCTTTAAAAAATCCTAAGAGACTGATGAGATTTAAATATTATATATTCCACATTATTTAAAATTATGTGGGCCCGGGAGATAGCTCAGTAGAATAAGTGCTTGCCTGGCAAACACAAGGTCCTGAGTTCAATCCCTAGTACCGTAAAAATAAGTAAATAAATAAATAAAATTATAATCAACAGACATTTTTTTGTGCGTGGCTGGCTAAGTCCGCCCTGGGGCAGGGCTGGCATGGCGTGGCATGTGGCTGGGTACCAAGCTGCAGTCCTTGCACTTGCCCAAGCTTGCCTAAGCAGGCGCTTTAGACCACTGAGCCATCTTGCCGGCCCTAACACAGACATTATTTTCTTCATATGATTTGCATTTTGTCTTTAAAAAATATCAAGAAACAAAACTCCGAATTGCTTTTATTTGTATAACAAAAGGTGTTCTATTCATAGCTAAAAATATCAACCTTGTCTCAACCCCCACCTCCAGTTCTCTTTTCTTTCAGAAGTGGTTGAGGGGCATCAAAGATAACAAAAATCAATCCAACACATAAGTGGATCTTTTTTCTGCAAAAGTTAGTACTTACAGGTGTGTTCCTGTTTGAGAATTTTAATAATAAATTAGTATTCAAATGTTTGTATACTACTAAATCTCCTTGCCAACTAGAAGAAGTATCCTAGGCAGCTAACTCTTGTGGAAGTTAATCCACACTCAGAGATGGACTGGGCCCTTAAGGAAGCCAGCACAAAACCAGCAGACATCAGAATCTGGCTGGAGGTGCATCTGGGGAAGGCCAGGCTTCAAGATGAAGAGGCCACTGCCTCCCTAAGGGATAAACGGCAACTTGAGACTAGACTGAAATTAGCACTCCTGGTCAAGTGAGCTCAGACAGGCGTCTGTGCCCGGGGTGAACAGAGCCTGTGGACCCAGGGCTCCCTCTCAAATGCTTTTGCCCTTCCCGTGTGCCCCTGCCACACAACTCACTTCCCTACTTGGCCAGTATTAGCTAAGTGCCTAGACTTTGAGTCCTAAGGCAATCTAGGAACTATTCTTCTCTATTTCCAGGGAACCTCTCCCAACTTCTTCCTTTGCTTCGCAGGGTCATTCCTGGAACTTGACATCTAACAGTTGGAGTTAGATTTGTCCCATATCAGGGGGACTCTCCTGGAATCCTGTTTTGTTCTGAACAAAATAGCAACATACAACCTTTCCTCCTATGTATTTTTTTTTTTTTAAAGAGATCTTCGGGCAACAGAAAGTATTGTGATTTGACATGACTATGCTTTGTTTGGGGTGAAGGCTACAGTAGGCCTTCAGGCTTTGTTCTCCTGCATAAGGAATTCTTTCCTTAGTCCACAGGAGAGGGACAGAGATGAAGCTTTCTGTTGCTGAAAGCTCCACCGCAAGCCAAAGAGAAAGTTCCAGTATTCTCAGTCCTTTAAAAATTCCACTGAGTGTATAAATGTAGAGGTGCGTGAGTGCCTGGGAGCCTCCGGCATCCTTTAAATTTGTTGATATGAAGTTACATTTTATTTCTCCCTGGAGTATGGTGGGATTCTTGTATTTAGGAGGTGCTGATCATGAAGCATATCATTTGATGAAGGTTGCTGTTTGTTTGCTTTGCTTCTTGGCTTATTGTCTCATTCTGCTGGTCTGGTCTGATGTCACCACCTGTAATTTTTAGAGGATAACACAGAGGCTAACATATTACTGTGGGGGTACTTGTAAATGACCTTGCTGACGTGGTGTGTGTGTGTGCAGAGCATAGGTGGACCCCAGGCCTTGTGCATGCTGTGCCTGTCCTCTACAGCTGAGCACTACTACACTTCTGCCCCTGAGTTTTGACTTTTACTGTGATTCATCTGGCCAACTGATTTGACATTCTCTGAGCCAGAGTTATAATTGCTGATTCAAATAAAAACTTAATAAATCTTTATCTTTGGAATCGTTTTTTACGGTATGAATGATACATTTTAAGTGAATGCCTTTGAACTATATAATATGCAGATTTGAGACATAATCTGAAATAAATTGAGACTAACAGTAAAGTGAAAAGCGTGCATGTTTAAAAATTTAGCCTAGTTGAATGAAATTCTAAGATGTCAGTCTAGTTCTTGATAGGAGCAAAAGAAAATTTCCCCTAAGCCTCCTGAAGGCTCCCTAGAATAAGCTGACAAGGATTAATCAGGAGGAGAAAGACACAAATGTATTAACTTGCGAAAGAGGAAAATATCACAGTGCAGGGGACAAGCACAGGGTTGTGCTACTGCCAGCCCAACATCATTCATAAACGTACATATCTCTTTTTCTGCAGAGTAAAGGGAGAAGGGAGATGGAGACAGTTCTGAGGACTTAACAAATGATTATTAGAGGAATAAATGGGCCCGGAGAACCTCTTTGAAATATGTATGAGCCCTTGTCATGGCAGCCCATCCAGCAGGGTCACATTCCTCAGTCCTATGTGATAGGTAGCTAGTGGGGCGGAGGACCTAAAGTGATGTGTTCCCTTTTACAGTCTGATCTCAGAGAGATGGAGACAGAGATATAGAGAGACAGAGAGAGAGAGAGAGAGAGAGAGAGAGAGAGAGAGAGAGAGAGAGACAGAGACAGACAGAGACAGAGACAGACAGACAGAGACAGACAGACAGAGACAGACAGAGACAGAGACACAGAGATACTCTCTAAGCTGTTGTGGGGAGAGGACCCAGAAAGGTTAGACCTTGATCCTGAGCCTTCAAGGCCTTCCAGTTTTCTTTAGAGGGAACTGCTCAACCTGCCAGCATGCAGCTTAATTTGGGGGTGCCCTTCTCAGCCCTGACATCTCTCATGTATGGTGATAGGAAGATCTGGATCATAGCCTCTCTAGATAAAATTCATTCCGTGATACCTAAGATCCTCCCCGGTCCTGTAATTGTGTTTCGGCCCTCCGAACTTCCTTTCGGACAGTGTCTGCTTGGGGGGATGCCTTGTAAGTAAGAGATTATTACTTTGTGGAATAGATGCACATTTGTCAATGCGCATTCACATTTCTCATAGCACGTTAGCTGCGGAGTTCCGTTTGAAAATAATTCTGAACACTTGGGCTCTTGCTTGGGGGCGAGCTGGGGTTCTAGGCGCGGGGGTCTGCAGCCCCGCAGCGGCGTGTGTGTGCCAACGTGCCTTTGTTCTGAAAGTCTTGCTGTCTGGTTATTGCGTGTCCCACTGCGTTGTCTTTGTTTCTCTCCGTTTTCCCCCATTGTGCTCGGGTGAGTCATTCGTGCGAATAAGTTTGTTTACATTCATCCGCGGATTAAGTGCGTTTCTGGTGAGAGAAGGGGCGGCAGAGGGAGGAGAGGGTCGGACCGAGCGAGCGCAGGGCGCGGGAGGCGAGCGGCGGCGGCGCGGGCTGGTCCGGGCGCAGGGGCGGCGATCGCGCTCCCGCCAGCTTTTTCCCCAGGCTCGGGCGCAGGCTCGCGGAACTCCTCGTGTAGCGCCGAGCCGGCGGGGATTTGCTGAGGACAAATGCTGTAATGTGTTAGTCATCCATTATCTGCTTCTATTTTTGCAGGTTCTGAATGATGCCTGACGCGGGTCCGCGCGGTGGCCCTCGCCGTCCCCGTCGCCCCGGAGCGCCGCGCAGCCCGCGAGTCTAGCGCCGTCCGTCCGTCCGTCCGTCCGTCCGTC